GGAATCCTGTCTGTGTTTCCTGTCTGCTTTCAGGAAAGCCCAGTCAGGATAACCACACTGCTCCAGGGCCTGTCGTGTGTGTGATTTCTCTAGTAATATATTTACTGAGAAAAATGTTGACGTGTTCAATACTTATTTTACCCGCTGTATATAAAAACGTATTGGGTCTACTTTACAAAAAAGACACCAAAGAGCACATACCAGGTAACCACAAAACTACACTACAGATGTATATTACTGTATTTTGTTGTGTTCTAATAGGACCTCTCAGTTATAGGTTTTTCACAGTGATTATGTGTTTATTACAAACCTTTTAGAACAACTGTGATTTGAGTAGCAGAGTGGACTTAGAATTACAATTGTGATAGTAAACAAACGTGATAATTTTTGCAAATCAGAGTATACTATGGATGAAGAACATAAACTCATAATTAGCTGATTTAGATTTATCATATCAAGATAAAAAATTTAATTATAAGGCAAAAAAGCTGTATGTGGTCAAACTACTTCATTATCTTGGTCAAGATGCACTACTCATTCCATACGGCTAAGAAGTGGATTAAAAAGATGAGTCAACACTCTGACCAAACACAGATTATCTGATATTTGAGATTATCTGATTGAAGGACTGGTTTATTCATTTGAGTCTATTAAGGCCTACAAGTCACTAGATGTCTATAGGAGAGTGATAATAGATTTAAATTAATTCAACAGGCTAATTTCCTGTTGGCTTCAGATCAGTGCTGTGGTCTTATAATCCTTAGGCTGCAGGTTTGAACCCTGGTTGTGTCAGGAAGAGCATCTGGCATAAAACAATTACTAAATCAATCACATGGGTTTACTAGCTGTGTTTACTCCGCAGGAGGAAGCGGCTGAAACAACAACAACAAAAAATCAAATGTTGGTTTAAATGTATTACCTTCCAGTGTATAGATGTCCCGGCCCCATGGATATTTGTGATATTTCTTGACATCATCTTCTGTTCTTGTGGTTTCGGGGAAGAACTCATACTTGATTAACTCTCTAAGAAAAAGAAAAGCCCATAAATCCATTAGTTCATGACTCACTAAGTGGCACACCTAGTTAGGTTAAACTCTGACTTTATGTATAATAGATCCTAACATAGTATTTTTTTAAATGATACTCTGTTTTGTGAACTTCTGAATTGTCAAAAATTCTGCATTTGACCTTACCTGTATCTTGCAAAATATCTGCATGACTATTATGTAATAACCACTAAACACTTGTGAATACAAATTAATCCCTGTCAAGATTATTTAACTATCACAAATCATTGAAATTTATAGCGCTATTACTGTATCATGCTGAAAGAACAAAACTCAGGAGTCATGTGGACATGGTGAACAAGATGGCAGCTGGCTGGGAGCACTCGGTTTCCTGCCAGGTTATTTTCTGGCAGTAATGTATGAGGGTTTTATACACTCACCGGCCACTTAATTAGGTACACCACGCTAGTAACGGTTTTGTGGTCATAAAGGGATGGACATGGTCAGCAACAATACTCAGGTAGGCTGTGGCGTTGCAACGATGCTCAATTGGTACCAAGGGGCCCAAAGAGTGCCAAGAAAAGATTCCCCACACCATGACACCACCACCACCAGCCTGAACCGTTGATACAAGGCAGGATGGATCCATGCTTTCATGTTGTTGACGCCAAATTCTGACCCTACCATCCGAATGTCGCAGCAGAAATCGAGACTCATCAGACCAGGCAATGTTTTTCCAATCTTCTCTTGTCCAATTTCGATGAGCTTGTGCAAATTGTAGCCTCAGTTTCCTGTTCTTAGCTGAAAGGAGTGGCACCCGGTGTGGTCTTCTGCTGCTGAAGCCCATCTGCCTCAAAGTTCGACGTACTGTGCGTTCAGAGATGCTCTTCTGCCTACCTTGGTTGTAACGGGTGGTTATTTGAGTCACTGTTGCCTTTCTATCAGCTCGAACCAGTCTGCCCATTCTCCTCTGACCTCTGGCATCAACAAGGCATTTCCGCCCACAGGACTGCCACTCACTGGATGTTTTGTCTTTTTCGGACCATTCTCTGTAAACCCTAGAGATGGTTGTGTGTGAAAATCCCAGTAGATCAGCAGTTTCTGAAATACTCAGACCAGCCCTTCTGGCACCAACAACCATGCCACATTCAAAGGCACTCAAATCACCTTTCTTCCCCATACTGATGCTCGGTTTGAACTGCAGGAGATTGTCTTGACCATGTCTACATGCCTAAATGCACTGAGTTGCCGCCATGTGATTGGCTGATTAGAAATTAAGTGTTAACGAGCAGTTGGACAGGTGTACCTAATAAAGTGGCCGGTGAGTGTATTTAATGGTATTCTCCTCCAGTTGTGAAATTTAATGGGCTTGTTGTCTGTTTTTCTGAAGCAGTTACGGCTGAGAGGTTATGGGAGTTGTCCTCCAATGCAGGAGTTGGTGGTTTGATTCTTCTATTGAGTCACATGTTGAAGTGTCCCTGGGCAAGACACTGAACCTCCGCTGCCCCTGATGTGTCCCATCGCTGTATGAATGTGATTTAAATGGCTGGGTTGCGATGGCTGAGTGGTTAGGGGAGTCATCCTGTAATCGGATGGTTGCCAGTTCGATCCCCCCGTCCAGCCGTCTCAGTTGTTGTGTCCTTGGTAAAGACACTTCACTGCCTTGCCTGCTGACGTTGGTCAGAGGATCCGGTGGTGCCGGTGCATGCCCTTCCTCTGTCAGTGTGCCCCTACAATGTAGCTTACCACCATCAGTGTGTGAATGGGTGAATGCCAGAAGTGTAAAGCACTTTGGGGTCCATGTGGACTTGATGAGGCACTATATAAGTTCAAGTCATTTAACACTGAACCGCGTTTAGCTTTGATTACGTCACACATTCACTGTGGCACTGTTTTGATAAACTTCTGCAATGTCAGCAGATTTATTTACATCCAGAGTTGTATTAATTTTTATCAAGATCTTTCATTGATGATGTAGAGTCTGACCTTCTCCAGCACATCCCAATTTTTTTTTCTGCTTGGCCTTCGGAGGAGTCGGCCGCTTTTGCTCTTTCTCCCGCACCTCCCTACTTTTCCCTGCTTCGCTGCCGGATCAAGCTTTTCTTCTACCTGTCTCTGAATGCAACTGATACCATTTTCTCCACTCTGAGATTAGAGAGTGGTGAGAGCTCGTCCCAGTGGAACTGTGGCTGCGGGGCGAGTTTCAGCCAGCTGGGGGGTTGGAACCTGATCTGCCTGGCACCTCTTTCTATTGAGGACGTCGAAGATGTTTTCATATTTGGATTTATGATAATCGGATTCCTGCTGATCGGCTGTGGAGGAGTTCTGGTTTATCGGAAAATGAGAACGGCACTGACGGCGATTCGGTCCTGTGAGAAGCTGTCAGTGTCCCTGGGTGGAATCTCGTACGGTGAACGCACAGACTCAAATGGTGGGAGAGCTGAATCGCAAACTGGATGTGGTTCTAACTAGGATCGCAGCCCAGCGGCACGAGGAGTCAGGGCAACATCTGGGTGAAGTTCATACGGGAGAGGCGAGATGGTAACTAATCTGGAATATTGGCATTTTCACAACCCAGAGGCACAGTTAAGACTTTAAAGCAGCGGAGAAAAGAAGACTGCTGTTGCTCTAAAGAATTTATTCCATCATTGGATCCCCACAGATGTGACCTCGGTCGCAGGCTGATAAAAACTCCCTGGATGATATGTGTGGGTAAAAGCCTTGATCCCGCCCCACCCATCTCCCACCTGTGTCTGGTCCCAGTCCGAAGCCACGTTGGTTGGAACAGAGAACTGAACTCTGGTGAACTGTGTTGATTGATAATAACTGGTTGGACTCTGGAGGTCTCTGATTAGACCCGGCACTTTGTAATTGATGTCACCGGTCCCTCTGCAATCACTTCCCCCGTCTATATTTGTCCCCCCCACCACCCCGCTTAGCTGCCTCTGCTCCTATCTGCAGAGTAGTTTTTTTTTGTGCGATGCTCGTGTGTTTTCTGTATAAAACACAGGATCATAGCTCTTTTTTTAACTCATCCTTCCTATGAGTGTGTGTGTGTGTGTGTTCTAAACTGCAAGGTAGCTCACCACGCTGCGCAGGGCCCTGGACATTCATTCCCCTGTGTCTGTCATGTGTGCGTGTGTTTCTCCGGACGGATATTCAAAACTGCAAATTTCGTTCTGCATTGCATCTGATGTTGTGTTTGAATGACAATAAATGATTCTTGAATCTTGAAGAGTCTCAGTGGACTCTGTGGAGCCAATCCATGTGTGAAAATGATGTCTCATGCTCCCTGAACCACTCTTTCACAATAAGAGCCCCATGAATCCTGGTATTGTCATCTTGGAATATGGCCGAGCCATCAGGGAAGAAACAATATAACCTGCTCATTCAGTATATTCAGGTAGTCAGCTGACCTACTGTTGCTGAACCTTGACCTGACCATCTGCAGCAAACACACATCTTAGACCTTAGTTACATCCAGGTGGCCACTTCTGTTTTGGCCAGGCAGTGTAACGTCTTTTTTAGCACCACTCCAACTTGTCCTGGGTCTGAATCAAAGTTCTGCCAAGACACAAGTTCCCGGCCCCCACACTGTTTGAGTGGCTGGTGAGCCTTATCCAGTTTGTTTAAAGTGACAGCTACACCTCTGTTAGGTCCAAGGAATTGTTTGTCAAATCTCTGGTTGAATTTGATTTATGTATTTTTTTGCCCCAGCTACGCTAAGCTGCAGATCTGGCATGGCACCGCAGAGCTATCAGCCTTAAGAATATAAAGATATCTACACAGCACCAAAAGAGACTAAATTCAAATTTTCTGCATGTAATTCCTGCACTGAACAAGCAAACACATGCTCCTTTCTACATTAATGATGCTCTGCAGTTATTTAAAACACCAGTTTTAAAACTCAGCTCAAAGGATTCTGTAGAACAATATTTCATTAATCTTGAAAAAACCATGAGAATTCTGTCTTTTCTGGGTGTGTTTTAGCATTAACAGCATGTAAATGTCTTATGTGAACAGTTCTCTTCAGTGTCCCACCTACGCACTGGCAATATTATATTTGAAATAAACCAAACAGTTTAGTTCAAATATAATGTATTATGTCTGTAACATGACTAAATACTTACTGGCTGATGTTTGCTATGGTGTCCATCCAGCTGCGAATGCGAACCTTGTTACGGATGTTCGGAGGATTGCTGAACTCATGCACTATAGCAATATGATACGGATATGGTCCCTGGAACAGCTGTCGCTCCAACGCCACAGAGTCAATCTGGGGAGAAGAGAGAGAAGCATAATATTATACATACATATGTGCGTAAATTGGAAATTGGAAATTGACTGGGTGTGTCCTTATTTTCTACCTCCAATTTGAGTGATTCCATACTTTTTTCCCTGTGCTTAGTCAATAAAAGTAACATTCACTGACTTCCACAATGTTCTCTCTTCATTTCTGTGAGTGTTCCTGAAAGCCAACAAGTTGCACTTTGGAATGACCTTATTATTGTATCATGTTTTTGATCTGTTTGTTTTACAGAATGAAATGTCTGAATGAGTGCTCATCCAAGACTGCTGATTCCATACTTTTTGCCAGGGGTTGTATTAAGGATGCCTCAGAATGAAACCAGAGAGCGTTGACAGAGAGGAGAAGGTAGAAATGACTCAGCCTGGAACTGAAAATATGGATGAAGGACAACAGAGCTGCTTCATGGAAGAAGAACCTCAGCTTAGCTTTTTAGCTTTAGCATTAGCACCAATTCTATATTTCCTTATGTATTAGTTCAGTGCTAGCGCGAAAGCTAACAAGCTAAACTGTTGTCCAACATCCATATTTTTAGTTACAGGCTGAGTCATTTCTACCTTCTCCTCTCTGTCATGTGGATGGAGGAGCTCAGTGACGAGAGGAGAATGTGTAGCGCTGACCTAATATTTATATGGTGATAGCATCGGGGCTAAAGCTAACAGGCTAAGCTGAGGTTCTTCTTCCATGAAGCAGCTCTGTTGTCCTTCATCCATATTTTCAGTTCCAGGCTGAGTCATTTCTACCTTCTCCTCTCTGTCAACGCTCTCTGGTTTCATTTAAAAGAGTCGATCATCAGATATTGTCCAAGACTAAACTTCAGGGTGGATACAGATTGCTAGCAGCCTCGCACCGATGACCTTTCCACGTCATCATTTAC